GATTGTTGCATATAAGCACCTGTTTGGTTGATGTATACGAGAGTCCGACATTATAAGCGCTAGGCTCGTATACATAACCTGGGCCGTGCGTAAAATTCCCGAGATCTATTTTCCTAAGGAGACGCATAGGGGTGGTCTGATGCCACCAAAGAAGCCCCCCGACGTCGCTCTCCACCATGAATGCCTGGCCTACGTGAGCAAGCTCTTCAAAGAGCCTAGGACCCGAGAGGACGTCAAGCTCCGGGCCCTGAGGAACAAAGAGACCGAATGCACCGTGGTCAAGACCAGCCTGAACAGCTTCTGCAAGGAGGCTGCCAGGGCCCTCCCTCTGGAGAGCGTGCTCAAGGAAGTGAATAAGGCTATCTGTGAAGCCTACATCCTTGCTAACCTTCATGTACTACGGATGTCTGAGTTGGGTCGCGAAGTTCCACCTCTGGACCAACCCTTCTTCTACAACTGCCTCTCTGCCGTCAGTGTGGCCGGTAGGAAGAAGAGCTCCGTCAAAGACCTCTACCTCAGGGAGACCGTAGAGCTTTACCTGGCATCACGCCCTGCAGACTGTCTGCATCCGGACTGTGAGCATCTCTCTTCAGGCTGGTACCAGAATGCGAGCCTTCAGATGGCCACGTGCACCAAGAACTCTATCGCCACCAACTTCTACAAGCGCTTCAAGCGCTACCTGAAGCACGAGTACTCCCTCGACGGCCCTTCATGCTATTCCAAGATGCGGGACATGTTCGCTGATGAGTACGAAGGCGACGACCCACTGGTTTTGAGGTACCGAGCCATGCTTCCGAAAGCCACTACTGGTAGGGCAGACTCCACCCCTCACATACTCATGCCAATGCAATACATGTTCCTGCGCTACATGGAGTCGCATCACCCCCTGACAGAAGAAGAACTGAAGAAAGGTAAGCAGCTGAGGCTCTTCAGCCTCCTACCTACGAAGAGGGGCTTCGAGTGCAATCATCTCAAGATGTGCACCAACGGACTCTATGGGCTTCTCAAGAGGGGAGGGGTCAAGCTTCCAGCCTCGGGAGCGGAGTTCAGGAAGGTGGCTGACGACTACTGGAGGGACCTCTTCGACATCGCAAAGTTCGAGACGTGCAACCGCAAGTTCGCAGGCGAGATCCTCACGGACGGGAAGGCCGTCTGCATCGTGCTGAGGAAGCCAAAACCCAGGCAAGCCCCAGGCGAAGCAACGCTCCCCGACCTCACGGGAGAAGAGGAGCTGTGGGGCCTAGATCCAGGCAGGCGAGACCTCTTTGTCATGGTCAACGAAGAAGGAGAGAAGCTGAAGTGCTCAACTCGAGAATTCTATGGCGACGCCAAGTACAAGCACAGCAACGCCAAGATCAAGCGGTGGTACGATAAGAGCCCGGAGGTGCTCGAGGCCATCCGGAACATGCCTACCAAGAAGACATCGGAGAGCACCAAGTTTCTCGCTTACGTGCACTTTATGCTGCCCAGGCTCGACATGCTCCTCGTCTACCACATGAGGCAGGGATTCAGAGGGCTCAAGTTCAAGCGGTACATCTCAGCTCAGAAGAAGCTGCATGCACTCTGCAAGGCCATAACGAGGCGAGTGGGTTACAAGACGGTTGTGGGCTTCGGAGACTGGTCTAACAAGGACTCCGGAGGCATCATCAAGGGATCTCCTTCTGGGCCCGTGAAGCGGTTGGAGCGAGAGCTCCGCAAGCATTGCAGGGTGGTCTCGATGGACGAGTTCAGGACCAGCAAGCTGCACTTCGATTGCAAGGCGCAGCTGCGCAATCAATACTCGGAGAAGCGGTGCAAGGATGGGGCGGTGAAGACCGTCAAAGTTCACAGTGTGCTCCACTGCCGAAACAGTGGCTGTAATGGCATGACGGTGAACCGAGACGTGAACGCTGCCCGGAACATCCTGAGGCTGTTGAGGCTGCGGCTCGAAGGCCGCGCCAGACCGGTGGAGTTTTGCCGGTCGGTTACCATGTGAGGATTGTTCGCGAATACCGGGCTTCATAACCCGGCGGTTCGTGGATAGCCGGTACCAGTCCGTACACGTATGGACCCAATCCGGTATTATTATTCATTTTCCGTCCGAAGAAGCGCCCGGTACGGGCGACAGTTTGGGCGAAAATGGTAATAATTCCCCACTTCGAGCTTTCTTATGACAACACGCGCTCTCGATGCCTTGTATGTGTAGCTGCGCTCTATAGCAGTCACCATGCGCGAAATATGCCGTCTAGAGATACTCTCCAACTCGCGTAAGACGGACGCGTTCCGTCAAGCTCTCGAAGATCCGGGAAGACCGGATCTTAGTGATATGCGGGATGGTGCTCCCAGCTGTACAGCAGCAACTCAGGAAAACGCCCATCGGCTCCGTCGCTGTTCAAAGTCATTCGGTATGTCTTGTTTGTAGCCCGAATTTTGAGGAGGTCCTCGCCGTGGGGCGGCGCCTCGTCGCGGGTCGAAACCCGGATCATTCCGGCGTGGGGATCCCCAGAACGATCCCCATCCCCAATACGAACGTGCATCCTGGTTTTCAGTTTCCGCGTCTGCCTGGTATTGGTAGGGTCGCTGGGGTGTCGGTCGAGGAGAAGGAGCCCGCTGTGGAGCCGGATCATGGGGCGGAGCCATGGACTCCTTCGTGTCCGGGCTCTTCAGCCTCTCGATCAGCAATTGTGTTACGACCTTACGGCGATTACGATTGAGACCCATCGGTGATGCCTTGTCGGGGTGGTACTTGAGGAGTAACTGTTTGATGATCGGAGCGGTGAGTGGTATGTTCCGATCGTTCGCAATCAAGAATGCGTCGAGATTCTCGTCCCCTTTCAATCGCCGCCTCGCGATCCCCTCTCGCTTCGCCCCTTCGACGAGTCTTTTCAATTTATCTATCCAAGTGGGCATCGCGGGCTGCGACGTAGGTTTCTCCTCTCGTCTCGCTAACCTCTCTTTCTTTGCGTCCGCTCGCAGCTTCAGCACCTCCTCTCTTTCTCGATTCTTCCTCCTGTTTTCTTGCTCGCGCGCATCGTTCACTCCTCGATTCCGCGCGCTCTCCTTCGGCGCACTCTCACGTTCACGCTTATCCCCGGCCCCTCCTTCATCCTGCGGGGGCACATTTCGCCCGGTTCGCCGCGCGTTCGGAGCGAACTCATTCACGACCCGCTGTACGTCGGCCTCCAGCGGACCCGTGCGGCTCGCGGCTTTTCCGGCGGGTCTCGCTGATCCGGGCGCGCCGCTACGAATCGCTTCAGACATGCGGCTCTGAAGTCCTTTCATGGCTGGCGGGGCCCATCGGGCGTCGGTCTTCCGTCGCTCCTCCTCGGCGACCTGACTGCCTCGGTTCGTCCAGATGCGCTCCGCCGCTTCGATCCTCTGCCGGATTGCGGCGAGTGCCTCCCGGGCCGCCGTCAGAGCTGCCTGCGCGGATTGTTTTGCAGCTTGAATACGTGCTCCTTTCACTACCCCTTCGAGGGTCCTAACCTTGGTCTCCGCGAGTCTCAGCGCCCTCCTGTCGCGCTCCCTCCTAGCGTCGTCCTCGAGCTTTCGAGCA